AAAACACAAAAACTCATAACGGGCAGATGCGGGCCTCACCTTTCTTCATTTCTTTTTCCTTCTTGAAGACCTTCCCGGTCTCCACCATTATATAGGCGTCACCTTTTTCACAGAGACTGAGCACTGACACCCCGGGTTTGGCTGCTTCCATGACCAGACGGAGAGCCTCTGGATGAGACAGGAGGGAAGTCAGGCAGGTTAATGCATTAGCTCACTATAAGTTTTTTTTCTGATTATGTTAGCATGCTAGACCTATGACAGCTGAGATAAGCTCCAGACCACCACTGTAACACAAACACAGAGTGTAAATATAAACTGTGGTGGCCAGGATATGCATTTAATGTACTATAAGGTAGTGCCACAGCAAATATGTCCCATCTCCCGACTGCACTATCCATCCAAATAGATTAAATGGATAAGTTTGTTTTTCATTACAGCATTAATCTGACCAAGTACCTCGACCTAATTACTGCTTAAATTGTTAAATACAACCATACATCTTGTGCGATGTTTGAGATCTATAGAATGCAGGTGTTTCCTGTGTTTTCATCATATAATGGAGCAGTGATCATGAAACCACAATGTGCTGGTCGATAAATGCACAAAGAAGCCTTATGTGAATGATTTTAGAGCAAATTTCATGCTGTCGACTGACCATGAATGTCATCTGTCACCATAAACGTAGTTTAAAAGAGCTTCAGCTCGTGACCGTTTACGTGACATTTACAGCCGAACACCGGTCACCATTCTGAGCTAGCTGGTTTGTTAGCATCCCACACTAGTTAGTGACACAGACAGCTGCCTGTAAGAAACCCTATCGCTGCTGTTGGGTAACAATAGCAGAAAGCCGAGCAGTCGTTCAGTTATTCAGTTAAAAGCAGCTTTCAACCGACCCAGCTGCACCTGGTAGCTAGCTAGATGTGATAGCATATGTGTGCTTCGAATCTAAACCACATGGTTGCTGCTATAGGGAACCAATGTTAGCTGCTGTACGACAGGCCGAAAAGAGCAGGTCGTCACATCCAGTCACCGACAGTTACTCGCTGACATTAACTTACGGTTAGCGATGTCACCGCCCATCTTGTACTTGGTGACGACCAGATCCTCGGCTATAGTCTGTTCTTGCTCGTCGTCGGACATCTTGGCAGTGTAGTCTGAAGTCGCTAGTCGGCTCTGGACAGCGACAGTTCCCCTCGGCTCAGCTCTGACCGAAGCTGCTACCGCAAGCCCCTCCCACTTCACCCTGACGTAAAGCGACCCCAGCCCGCCAATAAAGTCGCGCTACCAACTGTTTAAACCATGGCTGTGAAACATCCTGCACGAGGGTCTCGACCGGCTCGCCAAATGGTGTAAAAGGTAGTTTCTCTCAGTTTTTGGATAATAACTGTGGGTTGTTTTTTTTTGCTTCTAGCACCTTTTACAGGGTGTAACTGACTTCTCCCCCAGCTGTAGCTGAGAACAATGAAACATTAATAATTATATTTCTCCTGTGGGAGCATTTACCACTTGAGCAAATGTCTGTAGCTCAGCCAAGGATATTTGTTAATCTGTAATTAGATGTGCGCCCTTTGACAGGTTGCACACTTTGCATCATTATACAGTTCACCAGCTCATTTAAAATAAAAATGTTGCAGTTCCATACCAAGTATTCAAAATATTTTTATTGAGTAAACATCTTTAAATGATTCTTCAAATGATATTGTCACAATTTCTTACCTGAAATCTCTTTATTTACAATGTAAACACAAAAATATAGCTTGTATCACATAATAAAAACAATTTTGATGTATAACAAAGGACAAAGCTGCAAAATAGTCACGTGTTGTTTGGGGGGTTTTGTACATTTTGTTACATGCTACATCTTTAACGTGGCTTTTGGTTGCTTTTCTCATTTCAGATCCTTCATGACTGTGTTTGAGAGGGAAGTCCATGAGATTTAAAATGTTCTTCATGTTGGCACAGCACTGGGCTTAAGAAACATCCTGCTGTGCCAGTATCCTGGGTTGTCGAAAGATCTGTCACCGACAGCAGGCTCCGTGACCCTGACTCCGGCCCGCATAGACTGGTGTTGCTCTCTGCGCCCCGCTGCCCCATTTTCCTCCCTCTGTAAGTTTTGATACACCACACCATCTCCGCCAGGTGGTGGGGCAGAAAAGCAGTCCATATCCTCGTATTCATCTGCCTCTGTCCCCTCTACATTCAGCTCTTTCTTGTCTTGAAGAGCCTGTCGTAGCTTTGGCTGCCTGTTTGTGTAATGATAGTTACCGTCCTCCACGTATTCATCCTCCTCCTCTTCCACCTTGCTGCTCATCCTCACAGGAGCTGGAGGAGGAGGAGGGTCACGTACTGGCGGACCTTCCAGCTTTTCACCGCCTCTGATGTCCATGTATTCATACTCAACTTCACTGGAACCCTGCTGCTCGGAGTCAGAGTTGTCCTTGCTCCTGGTGTAGCTTCCCCTGACCTCCACCGACACACCGGTGTCACATGAGGACGCTGTCACGTGTGATGACATTGAAGAGGTTCGCTTCTTGTTCGGCTTCAGCCACTGGCTGCCTTGCCTGAGTGATACAGGTGTTAAACACACCTGCTTGTTCATGTACTCGTATTCTTCATCATCTGGGTCGTCCAGGAGCTCTGATGAACGAGACTTTCCCATCCTCCCAGGAGCAGCTCGCGATGAGAAAAGCAACGTATCTGAAAGAAACAGATAACAGTAAAAAACAAAGACTAGCTAAACTGGGGCTATAAAGACAAACTATTTTAAACAGCTGGCTTAGTACAGCTAATCTTCTAGGGCTGCTGCTCATTTCCAAGTGGTAACTGTTAGTGTGTTGTAAATGAACAATTATGGTATCACCTCTCTCCGGGCTCCCTCCAGGAAGCACATATCCGTTTTGATCTTCTTCTTCCATCTCTGGTGAGGGAGTCTCAGGTGGCCCGCCGGACATGCTGTCTCTCTGCGACACGTAAGCGCTGTCCTCACGATGACGTCTTCTTTTCAGGCTCCCTGCTAAGGGGAAGTCCTCACCCATCTCCATCTCCATTCCAGTGCCGCAGCCTTCCGAGCTCTCGGACACAGTACGGGCAGAATTTAGCCGAGAGCGTGACTGCCACATCGCCTACCCAACAAAGCACAATCAGAACTCTATTGGCAAACTGGTAACAGCAGAAATCTTCAGTGGACTCGTTCTGGTCATGTGTATAAACACTACGAATTGGTTTAACAAAACAAAAGTCTCTTTTATCTACCTGTGTATGGTTGTCAACACCTGAGGTCATGGGCAGGTATCCAGTTCCGCTGGATGAATTAAGAATCACCTGTTATAAGAAAAGAGACAGTAAATGGATGATATCACACACACATACACACACACACATGCACATTCATTAAACACTTGAAAAAAAAAATCGTGCATTGGGGAAATTTTGAGATTCAGTATCTTGCCCAGGAATATGATTTATAAAGTTGACACTAAGTTAAGAGGAAAGTGGTATGCCCTACTTTGGGAGTGTCCATCCTAGAGTAACGATTGAGACTTTTTGCCATGTAGTAGTTGGCTGGAGACAAGTCATCTTCTTTCTCATCTGCCAACGGGTCCTCAAGGTTGACATCTACATCATCCAAGTCATCCAGGTCTGCACTTCGTTGGACGGGTTCATCTGGGGATGAGTCCTGTTGGCTACAGTCCTCCTGGCCAAACAAGGCAAATCATATATATATATATATACACACTACACATAGCTTTAACTGAAGCGCCACTTTACTGTACTGTGATGAAACTGTCTTACTTTGATCACCAAGTAGCGAGGTGGGTCTCTGGCCATTCTGGTAAATTCACTCGCCAGCTCCTTGAATGTTGGACGGACATTCTCATCAATCATCCAACCTGGAGAGTCATGAAAGGGCATCGGAACCAATTACAAAATGAAGAATTGACAGCCTACTTAATACTCGGCGGCTTTCAGTCATTTTCATATTTATTTTAATGTCTCTCAGGTTAAAATGTGCAAATTAGTTTTAACATTTTATTCATATGTCACGCCTAATGGACGTGGCAGATAAAAATCAGAGGTTTATGAACCAAATCGTCTTCTGAGCTCCATGAATTTATACTAAACTTAATGGCACACAGACATTTCAGTCCAACATATTTTTTTTGCAATCCCTCAGTCCACGCCACTGGTATTTGCACTACTGGCTGCACATGAAAATGAGAAATACTAGTGAGGTACTCACACTTAACCATGACCATATAGACATCTATGGTGCAAATTTGAGGCTGGGGCAAACGCTCGCCCTTTTCCAGCAGATCGGGAACCTCCTGTGGTCGCATTGTTGAATACGGCTCTGCTCCATAAGACATCATTTCCCATATTGTCACACCTAAAGCAGGGTGAAGAATTTAGTGTGGCCTGCATTTATACTTCTCCTATACTGACTCCGAAATTTGCATACTTTAATACGTGAGTATGAAACAATCTGGCGCTGGTAAAGTGCTTTAAAACTCACCATAACTCCAAACATCGCTCTGATGAGTGTATCTGCGAAACAAGATGCTCTCCAGGGCCATCCACCTGATTGGTGTCTAAGATTGTGAACAGAAAAGTTCTCTCTTGGTTACTCGAGTAAAAACAGCAGAACAAGCAGTCAAGTCTTTGAAAGAAAACAGCATAATGTTTTAAGGTGTGCAAGGTATTTAACACTGTTTAAAGAAGTGTGACCAGATGTCACGTTTTCTGCTAAGAAACAAAAACAAAAAAGAAAACAGACCTTGGGCTCGTTGCAATAGTACTTCTTGTCATCAGAGTAGAGCAGGTCTGCAATGCCATAGTCTGAAACCTGGGCAGTGAAATTATCATTCAGGAGTACATTTCTGGCAGCCAGATTCCTGTGAACCATCCTGTTCTCTTCCAGGTAATTCATACCCTGACAGGAGAGAGCAACAATGGTGGTGAAGTACTTGGAGGAATAAACCAAACTGTGTATATATATGTGTATATATATATATATAATATATATATTTATATATATATATATATATTATACATATATACATATTTATATACATATATATATAACATATATAATAATATATATATATATATATATATATATATATATATATATATATATATATATATATATATATATATATATATATATATAATATATTTCGACATTCAAACACAAAATATTAAGCATCTTATCCATACCTTTTGCAATTTGAAACACAAACCAGTTGAGCAGCCTCTGTGGGCTGAGCTTGCCCTTATTTTTCTTTACATGTGCCAGCAGCGAGCCTTGCCTGTTGAGCGGGATAACAAGTTGCAGGCTGTCACCGGGACAGATACCCAGGGTCCTGACAACGTTAATGTGGTTCAGACTTGCCATCGTCCTCATGTGCTGTAGCAACCGAATAAGTAGATCATTAGTGATTTAATTTAGTGTCAACAATCACCAAGATTTATGGTATTAAAGGAGGTGCTCCACAACAAAAAATCTGTATAATCCATACTTTCAGTGTCAAATGCTCATCGCCTAGAAGCCTGGCATGTGGTTCTGCATAGGCAGTGAGTGATTGGTTCTGAAAATATATCTCTTTAGCACATTTCTTCTTTTTGTTATGTTTCTTACATCGGTCACTCCAGAGAATTTCCGACGACCACTGCGGTCATCAATCGTCTTAATGGCCACAGGAAGCTTCACTGTGTCGCCTTCAGGAATCCAAACGCCCTGTGAGGTGCAGAGAGACAGATTCATAATTTGTTAAATAGAAAGTAAAATGCACAAGAGGAGCATTTTATAGGAGTCTGTCTCTTCAAGTACCTTATGGACTGATCCAAACACTCCATTACCCAGCAGCCTGATCTTACGCAGCTCTGTAGGTTTAAGGGTCCGAGCTTCATATTTTGTCCCTTTATCTTCCAGGGGCTCAAAACTCTGCAGGCACACAGGGGCATGAATTATGACAAACCCAAAATAAGCACAGCGGCACAGTAACACTCGAATACAGATACTGACTTCGCTATTCATCATGTATCTTCTCATGGCGCGCTTGCGACGAATAGCAAGACTTCGGCGGTAGAGAATACTTAGCACGAAAATCGAGAAGGAAGCAAAGATGAGGGCAATCACTCCCAGTACGATAGCCGTGGTCATTTGCCTAAAGGCAGAGGAGAAAAGGGGCACAGTGTCAGCTCTTAATACTTGAATGTCAAAATTACATACAGCATATATCAGAATGACAGGAGAACTTACCCTGAAATGTACCTAGATGATATTGTACAGTCCCCTATTCCTGGACCGGTGCACCTAAAAACAATAAACACAGGGGATCAGTTTAAAGAAGCAAATTGTGTGTGTCTAACTACATCATTCCACTTGTACTTACCTCTGGGTACAGTTGTTGTGGCAAGGTTTACAGTTGCCCTCCTTGTCTGGATATTTAAAGATGGTTCCCTCCTGCCCCATAACACCCTCAGGACACATGGAGACACAGTGTGGGCCATCTTTCAGGCTGGCACAAGCTAGACATTTATTTGCTCCCTGCAGACAAAAAAAAGGGTGAATAAAAGCAGAAAGGTTTTTGCAAGAGTTGAAGGCGAGTGGCATTATGGTGGACAGCCATTTTTGTAAGGCCGCTAGGTGGCAGCAGAAGCCTTATGCCAGTTCTTTTCTTTTCTTTTTTTTTCCTTCTAGAAGTTTTAAGTCAAACATACCGGGCCTGTGCACGTCTCCTTCCCCTCCTGGACCTTACACTCAGGGTGACAGGGCAGACACTCCCCTGACTTAGTAGCAAACTCCCTCTGCTTCCTGCAATCGAGGCATAAACCCAGTTTCTATTCAAGTTCAAAGACTTACAGCAGACATTAGTCACATCTTAGGGCCAATGCTCAGGATTTTCCTTAACAATGTATAGACCTATACACAGTAATCCCTCTTAGTCTTCACTTATAACACACTAGAAGTGGGCAGCAATGCATTTGAATCAGTCATTCGATTTGTCTCCCCTGTTGATTTGTGCACAGAGAGCACGGTGGATACGATTAAGCATGTACTTTATCTGTATTTGCACATAATCCATTTGCAATGTGGCACTTCAAACAGGGTGCGAGTATTTGTGCTTTAAAATGTAAATTCTGTTTAAAACTATCAGAAAATATCAATTCTCTAAATCACTGCTTGTTTCTTTAATACCACTCCTTCTTGTCTTTCACTCTCTAACAACCTGCATACATGTTACACCATTAAAGCTTTATATTAATAATCGCTTTATACGTCATTTTGTGAATACTGACCCAGTTAAGAACATGCAGTCTGGTACACAGGTTCCTCCCCTGCTGTATTTCTTACAGCTGACACACTGGTCTGGGCCCGGACCCCAGCAGCCATCAGAGGAGCACAGCGGGTGACACACATGCTTCTCTTTAACTAAGGACGCAACCAAAACAGAAACGATGTTATGAGCAGAGCCATTGTTCACAATCACGTCTTGCAAGTTTTAAATGGTCCGCCCCCACTCACCACATTCACCCTTCTTTTGGTTGTCAGTGACGTCTAAGAGCTTTAAACGTTTCTGTGGACGGGAGCCTAAAAGCCGTGTCCAGTTGACAGTATCATGATAGCAGAGATTCTTGTTTCCTTTAATGTACACGGCACCATCATTTATGTTTTGCAGCGAGCGCAACCCCAGCGAGGTCAGAGAATTGATCTTAACCACCATGAGTGCATAGCTCCTGTAGAACAGCAGGAAGTAAATAAAGGTCAGAAAGTGGATGAAAATGTTCCAATTTTGTTTAAAATACCACAAAGTCAAAGTGAATATTGAAAGCCATATTTCTTTTAGGTTTAGCAATTTTCAAGAACATGATGTCAGACATTATTTTTAAGGTTTACAAACACAATTAATGCACTTTAGCTGTATTTGCACAAAATCTAGCAGTGTGGCACTTTGTGTTTCTTGTTGTTCTTACTGATCACATTTAATGATGTAATATAATCTTTCACAGTGTGTTTTCTTTGAGAAGTTTGTCACCATCTATTCATTTTGATACCTTTTAGACACAATATGAATTCAGTGATTCGGTGTCTGAATGTCATGTTTTTCAAATTGCATAACCCGTGTACTTAAAAAGACAAACAGCCAACAAACATATTCATGTTTAATCTTCAGTATTTTCATGCATCATGTAGTATGTAGTATGGAAATACTACAACAAAACTGATACTGCGGTATCAATTTTGTAGAATCTACTTTGGTAAATTCTTTAGTTCTATGTGAACTCATTAAAGCTGAGAAGGCGGTTTGTTTTTAATGCTTTAGTGCTTTTGGTTTCAGACGGGATTTAAACCCAGGTAAAAGTACTCTGATGTACCCCATCTTGCTTTCCTCTCATTTACTGAAGCTTGAGACCAGCCTGAAAAAAGCGCTTTCTTTGTCAAATTGATGTCAAAAACATGCTGCCTCTCCCAGCTTTAAAAAGTTGTGCCCACGGCCAGCTTAACCAAACAATCCCAGTGCTGAATTACCCCTGAAAAAATCATACTGAAAAATACCAACACCACGGATTCGGACAGAACATTTGTAGGCTCTAAGAGGAGATAGAGAGATGTGAGCATGTGAAATCTTTACTGTACCTTTTACTAACCACTCCTCTAAACAGGATAACAAGATAGGATAAAAATTAGAAATAACAAAGAAAATAAAAACAAAATTACTTTTATATTCCAGCAAATACTCAATCTGCATAACAATGCAGAAAAGACAAAAACAAAACAACTGTTTCTCACTTGTAAAGTTTTCTTCCCTGAATTGTTTGGAGGTTGGAGAAGACTGACAGGTCAGACATGCTTGCAGGCCACGACTGGATGTTGAGGAAGTCTGAAAACAGAGAGATTGTTTTTCAGAAGCCTCAACCAGACTGCAAATGGCATTAAATAACATAAAAAGATAAAAGCAGTCTAAGTGACAGTCTAAAAAAAAAAAAAAGCACAACCCCACAACATACACACACCTGTAATCTCCTCCACCGTGTTGAAGATTTTCAGTTTTTCTGGATCAAGGGGTGGTACCTTGTTGTAGGCATCACTGAGCCAAAATGAAATAAGTAAGTAAAAGGAAACGCATGTTGCAAAAACGTCAAAAAAGTGCAGGTTGATCTAGAGAATATTTTTTTTAACTCTTTGCTGCATTTTATGAAAGAAAGTTTATTTTACCCTTCTATTCCCGTCACCAGGAAGTTAAGACTTCCCTGGATCTTAGTGCAGTTTATGAAACTTTCTATGTTGCGAGCATCGACCGTTTCGCTGTTTGAATCAGTCCAGCTTGTGCCATGGCAAACTGGGAAAAAAAAAGATGAGAAGGAAACAGTTAATAACAGCAAAGCTGTAAGGTATCTGTAGAGAGAGCTTGAGTTCGATCTGCATGAAATACCTTTAGGGCAGAGGCCTTTGCAGGGCTCACATGTTTTCACACCATTTTTCTCCACTTCCATTTTATTAGATGGGCAGTTGCTCACACATGAACTGCCATCCACCACAAAGATTTCTATTAAAAAAACAGAAAACGCATGAGAATAAATGCATAAATGATTGTCAGTGACTGCGTTATGCCTTCAGTAAACACTGTGAAGAAAGCTGAACAGCACAGTCATAACAATGATTAAAAATATGTAAAAACAGCACTCTTACAGGAAGAAACTATGTATAAATTCTGAGTTTATGTGAATATTGTCATGTGTGGGACTCACTGGGGCATTGGGTCACACAAATAGAGCCGTACTGGTACTTGGCATTGGGGTTGGGCTCCATTCTATATGTAAGCCTGTTGTAGATCACAGTTTGTGGGCACTGAGGCACGCAGGAGCCCGAGTTGTTAAAGTTCCTGCAGGCCTGCAAAATGCAATTTATAACAGAGGAACATTTTATTTTTACATCTGCGTTTTCTGTACTGCAACATGTGAAAATATCTTCTCATTAAAGCCTGTGGAAGACTTGGACTCACAAAGCAGTCTGTATCCTTGGGCCCAGTGCAACCTCCAGCACACTCAACGTGGCAGCACTCGCTCGGGTTTCTACCAAAGCAGCGGCCACTACACTGAGGGGCGCACACGGTCTTTGTCACTGTAAGAGAGTCGACGCTTGTAAAAACCTGGCGTGAAACTAAAACTGTACGTAGATGCATATTAAACTTTTAACTTTGAAGTTACGTATATTATTAACAATGTGCAATACAAGATGTAAATGAACAACTCTGGCAGCAGCCATGACTCATGTGTGATACATCTCAAAGGCATCACAAGGTAACCAGTGCGTGGAAAATCAAGACATTAAAGATAAAGGTGCTTGATATCACTCACAGATCTGGCATGTGTCATTTCCTGGACCCCAGCATGGCACGTCTCCACAGGCTTTGTGACAAGGCTCTGAGATAAAAAAACAAAAAAAACTCTTATTACGTAGTTTCCGCATTTTAATACAAAACCAGAACAAAAGTCTTAAATTAAAGGAAAAGTTCAGATTTTGTTTTTTGTTTTAAATCCAAAGTTCAGCAGAAGAAAAAAATGAAACCTCAACAAGTTACAAGATGCAACTTGCAGCGCTGAAAAATGAAGCCTGCAGTTCCTCTAATGGCCAGTTGAGGGTGAATCCAAGTGCGAGTTAACCCCAATAAGACATTCATATTAAAATGTTTCGCCAGTGTAAACATAACATGTTTACAGACTTAAACAAAAAATGGTTTCTGTCTTTAGAACTAATTTGACCTTCTGTGCTTATTTTTTTTAATGACTCACATGTTTAAATTGTTTTAAGGCTTTGAAGTTTGAGACCAGGGGCTGCTAAACCACCACGTGTCTGCTAAGTGTCACCTCAGATGGTCCACTTTACCATGTTTGTCGGGTTTGCACCTTTTAAGGAGGTTTTTGGGTGTTTTCTGTGTGGTTAATTGCATCATTTTGTGGAGTGAAATTCTACTATTTTATTTGTATGTTAGTACAATTAGCAGGTATTTGTGTCTGTGTAATGCAATGCATCAGTCTATGGATGCACATTAACATTAAGCTTGCTAGTATTAGCTTAAGATTCCAACCTGTCGGCTCAAACGGATTCACTTCTGGCTCCTAAAATCAAGACGCAGACTGTCTAATGCTTTCACAAACCAGTGGATGAAGTCGTGGTGACTACATCCATCTATTATATGCACTCCAAAGAGTGGATCTTTTTAAGTTACCTATGTTTTTTGCTCCAATTTTCCTCGACAGTGATTTCTCCTCCTTTCACTGAGATTTGGCCGAGAGGCAGTAACACAGAAAGGGAAATAAGCACTGAAAAGACTGGAAAAACAGCTACCTCTTTCAGTTTAAAGTTCCATGTTTACCTCTGCTGAATTTCTGTTGAACTGTTTTATAGTGAAACGGAAATCTGAACCGATCCTTAAACATACCTGGTGCTCATATTTATGCGTGTAGTTACAACCCAGTGCACTCACTTTCAGGCCCATTGTCCTCTATCACAATTTGGGCTGTTCCATCCTTCACTATGTCCAGCCAGTTCACCTGCGGGGCGTAGCTCAGATACTTATTCCGGATGATCTTCACTCCTCCCCTGAGGATCTCTGTAGAAGGTACACATAGGTGTAAATGGGGCAGTACAATTAGGAAAGCAAGCCCGAACAGGCCTGTGACTCATCCTAACAAACTCTGCCATTCTCTGTTTACTACACAGCAAACGTATCATGTGCTGGAGCTCATGTTACACTGGCAGTTGAGCGGTTGAGCACATGGTACATTCCAGGGACTTCATATCACTCCTACACACACAAGCACACACACGGGCACAAACACACACACTGCTGCGTTTCAACAACCGGTATTCTAAAGGTGTGGCTGAACTGTGTAGGTGTGGGAGCTCCAACAGTAAGAGTGCCACATCCAACTTGACCTCTTATCTGCTCCAATCCAGCCTCCCACATGTTAAACACACTCTATACATCAAATGAGTGACTCTCTGTGTACCTGTGAGGTGAGTCAAGCCCAGTTCTTGAAGGCCATGCTCCCCATCCCTCTGATAGTTGACCATGACAGCCAAGGCATACTGGTCCTCATACAGTGTGCTGCCTCTGATGATGCGCAGGTGGTGCAGTGGGAGGCGGCTGAACTCATTGATAGCAAAAAGGATGTACCCCGTCACCTCCTTGATAGACTGCAAGGCAAAAGAAAAGAACAAGGAAGAGAAAAATGCAGTTTGTCAATTCTTCTGCTCAATCAAATTGTTATCAGGGTCACAAATCAGCAGGGGCGTGTTTGCTTACTGAGTTAGTCACCTGTGATTCCAGTGGCATGACTAGCACAAAAGGAGTGGGGGCATAAATGAGCTCATTCTGGATTTGAGACAAAATCCATTACAGAGAGCGATCAAACACAACAAGTGTTGACCCTCTGTGTTCTCCTGGGCGAATGAAAATGGTTGATTCACATACTTACTCATCTTGTCAGTGACACAATTTGCAGTGAAAGCGGTAGTCAAACTCTCTCTTGGTTTGTTGTTCGTAATGTTTGCAACCTCACCTCCAGAAAGCTGAAGTCTCTGGTGTGGTCCATCATGGTGATCTCGAGGTTGCCCATCACAATGTCGCAGTTATTGTACCTCGTCTTCATCAAGTTGTACTGGATCTCTGAATTCCCAGTCGTGCTCAGAAAGTTCTTGGTGCCGTCACAAACGGTCACTGTGAAAAGCAAAGGTTCTTAGATTTAAAAAAAAAAGTTTTTTCAGAAAAACATGTGTCCTCATTTCAAATAACCAGAAGAGTTGGGAATGACAGTAAACGCTGTAATGATTCATTAATCATCTGATTTTTAAAAGGCTTTCCACGTCAGTATACAGCGAGCCATTTTCCACAACATCCAACACACTGTGTTACCTAGTTTATCATGTTCAGTTTCAACAGTTTAATTGATGAACTAAAAATAAAAACACTTTCCATTCACGTTAGCACAGCAGAGAGATGTTCTGTCAATTAAAGAAACATATTTAGAAATGTGGCTGTTTGTGTGGCTGTGGAGATCACTCTGGGGTGGCTTTGGGCTGTCTCCTCACTGTGTTGGTGTGTTTGACTCTAGCCTATAGGTTTACATAGCTAACTGGTGTGTGTATGTGTCAATGAGTTTCAGGTGAAATTGTTCGATACATTACTTTTTTTGGGTAATGACCTCAACACTGGTTACAGTCTTAAAATAAGCCCAAAAAACGGACTTATGAAACCGTAGTGCCGGCGCTGCGTGCCACTACCTTCAGATAGACCAAACTGGCTCCTATCAGAAAAGAAAGTGGAAGTCTTTAGTTTGACAAACAGACGCCACACAGCTACTTGGTGGGAACTTTTTTTTATATCAATATCTATGCATCTGTCCACATTTTTTCTGACTTGATTTTAAAGAAGTTTCAGACCTGTTTTTAAACTATAAACAAACCCGCAGAGGCCATCCATCCATGTTTAATTTATAAAACACGTCAAATGTATGCTTACTTTTAACAGGATAAACTTTAATTAGTTAACACAAAGCAGTGGTTGTTGGATCTTCTAATAAGACTCATGAGAAATTATATATGATTGAAATTATACTCTTTGTATTTTTCAACATTTCGGGTTAATTTCATGCCTTACAATATATATAAATATAAACAAATGTGTCTGTGTTTAAGAAAAACAAAACAAAACCCCAATAAGGATTCTAAGTGATCCCAAACTCAGGAGCAGTACTCTACATTTCATTCACCGTGTGAATATATTATTGTCCTGAGTACATTATTTACTCAGTTGAGATAAAGTGGGTAAAACTGCTAAACATCACTGGTGATTGAGCAATTATATCACAACACAAATAATCCCACAGAGGTTCTAATGAATCATTAATGAGTCAACAGCATAATTCCTTACAAAGTGTGCTTTATGCCACTTACTACACACCACTGTGTTTGGTGTGCTCAATATGAATAAATGTACTGTAACAGTTTGAAACGAGCTAAGGATTGTGCAGAGCATGCCCTTCTTTCCAATAAAAATACAAAGCCTTGTTTATGGTCTGTGGGACTTTAGCCATTCAGCATCACTCAAAGGCTGCTTTGCTATTCAAATGTTAGACGGGAGAGAAGCTGCTGAGAGAAAATGGAAGAACGGGAACACGGACGGTGAACAGAGTGTGGCTACTGATGTGAAACTCATAGAAAAGCAATACTTTGCACAGACATATGCTTATGTATGATATGTCAGCTTTATGCACATCCAACTTACAGTTAGATCATACAATTATCTTTTAAACAACAGAGTGCTTCCAGTAACTTGGTTTGCTTTCCTACAACCTGATCCAACACCTTTGGGATGACCTGTAAGCCCAGCTTTAATAACTAACAGCACTCCCTATTACCTTCACTACATCTTGTGTGGTTGAAAGATGAGAAATTGCGCTACAACAATGATGTAAAATCTCATTAAAAAAAACTTTAAAAGGAATGCCCACATGCTCATGGTCTCAATGTATCAATCACATGCATTTCCTGCCAGTTAAGCCATTTTAGATCAAGAGAGAGGATTTTTGCCTCTTGGATTAAGTGATACTTAATAAAGTCAGACACCTGTTTTTTTTAGGATGAAAAAAAAGCAGCCTTTGTGATCCCAGGGCAAGCTTGAAAGTCTTTGTAGGATACATTTACTTACAGTTTATGCCAAATTAACTATCAGCAGTTCGTGCTTGCAGCGTACTGGATATATGGACGACTATCCCAGGATTACTTTGTACTGAAACAAATTTACAGTAAAAGCAGAACAACAGGATCAACAAGTGCATAAAAAGACTAATGATTATTAACCTCACAGCAAAGGAACGCTGCGCAGGTCAAAGTGTGTGTGTGCGTGTGTACTTGTGTGATACAATGTTGCAAAGAGCATGTCATAAAGTCCCGATAAGGATTACTTTACTGTGTTTTTGAGAACACCATCTTCAAAAAAAACCCTAGCTCTGTACTAAAAATATGAAACGACTCAAATCAGAAAAATACGCTGCATGATGTTTAGCCATCATGTCTGCGTTTGCTTTTAACAGTTATTTTTAGATATCCTGCTCAGAAGCTCCTGTCACCAGTGCAATATAACAGAAACGACGAGTATTTGTTTATCCTGCTTTCCAGAAAATGATGTCTTACTCATAACACCTGCAAACTGTCCAGGACAGTTCACCGCCATTCTAGGATGACAGCAAAAGCAGCATCTCGTGCTCAGCTTAAACACATAATGGTGAAGTGACATGAAACTCTGCAGATATTAGACATAAAGATGTGATTGCTCACCGTGCAGTCACACTTAGCTTGTGCAAACAGTTGTAAAATGTTCTCTTGGGCTCATGAGGAGCTTTGTTAAGTCTTGGAGAATAGCCCTGATTATGTGATCAGGGTTTACTCGGCTTGGACTGACAAAACACTTTAACAGGAAGCCTATGTTTCAAATTGGGGGTGAGAGTGAAGTTCACAAAAATAAAATCTGTGAAGGTTTACATCACCGTTATCTGCTGTCATCCCAGTAATGTGGAGGTTAACTGGCCTTGACAATTTAGCAGTCACACAGCAGATTTGAAAGTGTGGGAAAGTTGGAAGTTTTCACACATTAGTCTAGGATTAAAGTTGTAGTTCTGTGGTTATCATGTGAAGATAATGCCAAACAAAAGTCTATAAGTCTGTATTTTGCAACAAGTGAAAAAAAAACTGTTCTACTTTTATTTCCTCTTGAGGCCTTTCCTTTTCATATTTTGCTTTGCTTTACTTTTGCTAATTAAAATCCAAATAATTGAAAGCTCACGCACAGCTCACAGGTCAAATTCTTTGTCTGCCCTACCCTGTGAGGTGCACAGTGCTATCAGTGGTTGACAATGTCTGAATTGCCTGTTGGGAAATACTTGCCAACACCTCTACACATAGTCCACAACCTTCTACCCAGTAACTTATATAGAGCATGCATAAGCACAGCCCTCTAGAAAGGGAAAAACCGGTGTGTACGCATGCAGGACTGTATGTGACAAAGTGTGTCTGTCATACAGGAGGTGCACAAAGTTGCAGCTGTGGGAGCTGAAAATCTCAACAAGCTGAGTGGGTTTTTCCTCTGTCAAAGGAGGACTTTCAGTGTTGGCAGATGGATGATGGAGAGAGAAAAAAAGAATGGGGTGGAGGGTTTAGAGTCAATGCACACACATTGACACACACGAACACAATGGCCCCATTTTGAAAGAGTGCAAAAGAAGTGTCGTACTGTATCAAGATGTGCACCCAAACCTCTCTCTGTCCAAAGCCGACACTTTTTGTTTGTCACCCCCACTCTTTACAAACACTGCAGTATGTCAGCCTTCCTACTTAAATCCATCACTAACGAGCATGCACGAATTGTGAACTCACTTCAGCGTGTTGTCATTGTCCTGACAGGTAACCTAACACACGATGAAAACGCAGCACGGATCGGGTTTAGCTGTTATTTTCATTTGTCTGTTACCAAGGATTCAGTATTTGAAAAGAAAGAGACAGCGAAAGAAAAGAATAGAGGGAGGAGGAGATAAACAAGCCCAATAAAAGCAGCTGAGACGATGAGGTAAACAGAAACTTGGCACAGGACGTACAGAGATTGCTGCATAACTCACAAGTGAGCGTGCACACGCGTGCGCACGCGAACGCAAACACAGGCACCTGAGCAACTCGCGAGGTATTGACTAGGCACAGATTGTGTGTAAATGAATTGGAAGACTCTTTACGTGCTCCACAAAGCATTGCTGAACACACCAAGACAGAGGGTTGCTTAACATCGCACTCTGGCAACAGGAGCAACAGCATATTTGCTTTTCGACACATCAGCTATTTGGTCAGGTCACACCTGTGTGAGTGCAACTTTTTAAAAGGTTCTTGTTTTTCTTTTTAAAAGACTTTTTTTCCCTCCTAATATTAAAGGAAACCCCCTCTCTGATACACCTGAGAGACTGTTTTGCAAAGGTTGTGATATTCAGAGTATAAAATTCCTTGTTTTTCTTCTTGGCACAACAACTGCATCCAAAAATGCAAGTACTACAACTTGGCTGCAGCAGTACAGTTCACTTAGAGTGTGCTTTATGTAACGCTGTCTTTTAAGCTTTGTGCTCAAAGGAGTGTGTGAACAGCATTTCATTTGCTTTATTGTAGAAAGCGACTTTGATGTTTCATATAAAAAAGACACAAAGAAAGCAGCCAACAAACCACAGGCCAGTGTTATGATTAGTTTCTCTATTATTTAATATATTAATGATGGCATGTGTTTAATAACCAGGTCAAAAGGAATGAAGCTGTGCATTAGTGGTCCTCTTCAAGAGGTTTAGAGTCATTTCCCGCACTTTCATGAGTTGTTTTTTTTGGGAAGTGGTGATGACTACACAGTAAGTCATGGAACAGCACCTGCCAAGCATTGTTTTTTTCAGACACTGAGAAGAGACACACCTGGAAATTCACCTGTAAAAGTTGGCAAAAGCAATAACACAAAGTCAAAGTTCACAGCGTTCCTTCAGGACTCAAATCAAAACTCAAACATATCAGAATGCTTAGTGGTGACAGAGTGCATTTGTAACAGATCTAAAGATACCACTGCAGACCATTCAGATCATCTGATTAGGATCTTCTGACTGTACCATGCTCTTACTTTACAATCAGAGGTGATCATGTATTGAGGTTGTAGCTCCCAAACTCTGGAACAGCCTTCTTCAGCACTGAATCAGTGGTTTGCTTTAAACAACTCCTACTAAAAAAACAAATTTTTATAAGCCATTTTTCCCTTAATGTTTCCCCCAATATTCTGGGGCCATAGTTTTCATTGTGGCTGTCAAACATAAGGTCCGGGGATCAGAATCGACCTAGCGAAGACTGAAATCTGGCCCACTGGACAGCTTTAGAAAATGTAAGAGAGTGCACAGATTTTGATCTTTTAATTGTGTTTTCACAAGTTTTATGGCTTTTCCTATCAATTAAGACTGCCTACCTCCATGCCCGTCTATGCTACACCAAAGTTCCTGTTTTTGAACTATTAGTGAGTCCACTAGATTTACAAAACTTACCATATTTTATAAATGCAGGTCAGTCTGTGCATTTAACTTTTTTCCTTACACATTAATCACGTCGTTTCACTGATCGGGCCCACTTCAGAGCAAAGTGGGCCGTATGTGACCCGCGACGTAAACTGAGTCTGACATTGCTGGTTTAGGTCTTTTTGTGTGGGTGGAAGTTTATATGTTGTGTGTCCCTGTGGTTGAATATGTGGTTGAATATGTTGAAACGTGTACATCTTTAATGTGCAGCTTCTATAATTTCAAACTCTGAAGCACTTTGAAACTTTGTGTTTAGAAAAGTGCCACACAAATAAAATTCTTTTTATTATCACTCAAGCACGGCAAACAACTAAAAGTTTCATGTATGTGAGCACTTTAAGTCTATGCTACCTTTACTTCCCATACACCTATATGACGTTTAATGCTTACGTGTTACTCTGAGAGCTGATCAATTGATTAATTATGTGGTAATAAAAGTGTAATTATTCTTGAAGAGAACATCTGTTGAAATTTTAGAATACAAATGATCAAACTAGTAAACAGATGAGGGGAATAAAAACCCTGACAGATGATTCGCTAATGAAAATAACGACTAGTTGCCCTATATGAACCCACACATTAAGATGTGATCAGTTTCAGTGTGATGTCCCTTATAGATTAGGCTAAACTATGCCAAGAGCAAGCAGTAAACCAGCACTCGTGTTTTTTCTACTTCACACCACAAACTGTTGCCATCCATGTAAAGTTTGGGCACTTTTATTTTGCGATATTTTACTTAATAGCCACTGCAACTGCGGAACTATTAAAGAAATGCACATTTGGCTGTCAGTAAGGCAGAGAGGCTGGGCCACTCTGTCACAAACATGATAAAGCATATCGAGCCGTGGGAGAGGTGCAGGTGACTCACAGCAAACAAGTATGCAGAACAGGTTCTGCATATGAGGTCTGTGAGGACAGGTGATTACCTCTAACTAAGGTGGAAGTGAGAGGGGGTATTCATCGTTCCTCTCCCAGGCTAATGATAAAAATAAACGTGTGTGAATATGTGTGTGCGGGTGTTTATACCCACCTCCTTGAGTCTGAGCGCAGCAGAGCTGGAGTACACACGGCAGCAGGACGTAGAGCACCTGCTGCTGCACCTTCTTCAAAAGGACCTTCATTCTTATTCAAATCTCCAGGCTGGCGTCGAATCAAATAAACATCACCATCGTATTTATAGAGAAGAAATGTGTCCTTGAATCTTCCCAAATCCCCTCGTTGCTTCCGAGTCTGACCATTTAGACCACTACTCGGCTGTCGTTTTCTTAATCCTCTGCTTCAACTTGTTCTAGTCCTCACGAACAGAAGGAGTACATCCAGTTAGAAAAACAAAACCAAACAAAACCTGTTTGTGTTTTCGCTACATTTGTCACAACCTTACTAGTCGACCGCTCGGGTTTGTGTGGAGAAGAGTCACTACATCGCGGTGATTGGAGCGCACCGCGGAGCCAATCAGTAGCGGGAGCGGCTGTTTTCCTCTAGCACTGATTTTTGTGGGCGGGAGCAAAACGCGCAACACACAATAGCATAAAAGAAAGCCAGTAGAAACATCGAAAACAACTTGAAAAATGCGTTCACACATTTGCTCCCATGTCCAGTTGGAAACTGTATTAAAAACGCGTGTTGCCTTCAGAAAACAGTTTCCCTCTCTGTACGTGAGGCCGATTGATCCACAGTTCTGTTGTCTACAGTTCAGTAATAATAATAATATTGGTGTGAATTAAAAATGACAATAAAATAGCAACAAAAGTGTGCCACAATAGTGGTTCTGGGCCATTTTCTTCCTGCTGTTTGTCAACATGTGATGAATATTTCATGAAGACAACGTATTTTGTTGATAGTGTGTGCGTGTATCTGTTATCATAATTTGTAATGTGATCAAATGTAGCTAGACTTTGAGTGGGTAAATTCCCCAACATTATTCAGGCAAACAAGTTTGTGTTGTTGTTTTTATCATTCGTTAAATCACGTAAAATTCAGCCCTTATTTATCCGTCTTGTTTTCCTGCTCGTGTAAATAGCTTTATTATTACAGTCAGCGCATGCAAGTCACTCCCTCCCATTATATTCCTTTGCTACAGAAAACAACAACAAACGCTTAGAATGACGTCTTCAGCTTTTTCTCTGCTTCTTTGCATGTTCCACATATGATCTGATGGCATGTTTCTTCCATCTGTTTTCTTGATAACAGGACTTTGACCTCCTCAAAGTCTGAAAATGTACGATTGCTTTTTTTTTTTTATTGCTGCATCATATCATTGCTCCTGCGTGATTTTACAGTTGTACTTGGGACTCCTTGCAAAGTTTGTTAAATGCTTGTATAACAAAGGCAGTTCTTGAATAGTTTCAGTACAGGGGAGTAAGTCAAACTGCATGTTTAAACCAAACTAATGTGAGGTATTGTAACAAAAAACAAAAACATATCTGTTGTCATCTTGTTTATCTTCACGCAAACACCGTGTACCAGTTACAGTGGATGAGCGAGCTGAACAGCTCTGTGGAAACTGGCTCTGCCTGAACCTCCAGTTCATGTCATGCACACACGGCCATACAAAATAACTTCAGTGGAAAACAAAGACTGACACACTGATTGCATAAATCTGATTGATGCAAGTTTGTTTTTTCTTCACATGTATAACCTCTCTTTCTCCCCCCTGCCTAAAGGTAAGAAGGAAACTCAAAAACAAATGGTTAATGTTTTACCAATGACAGGAATCATTATCAAAAGCATTTCCTTCTTCTCCTCACAGAAGCTGCCTGCTTAGGAACAGAAGTTCAGAGAAACATTAAAAGACTTTAACATCTTTAATGGAACCTGATGCGCAAATTAACACTCTACTCTCAGGCTGTTTTACCAAAGAAAAATCTCACAGAAAGCTACTGAAGTGTAACTGAAGTATGTTGGTGCTTCAGGGCAAAGCTGAGTAGTGAAAGTAAAAGGACTCGTTTTGCACCTGATGCAAACCTTGAAAAAGTGCATTAAACTGTTTTGTACACACCACTAAAACGTTCAGCTCCTAAATATGCACTTTTCCCATATGTCAATATTTGTCTTTATCTTCCTTTTGCTAAACTGTCAAATTCAATGAAACCTAGTCTGTTAAACATTTAAATCTCTTTACTCCCTCATGTGTCATGTGAAAAAGAAACGCTTCCCCGGACTCTTCTGTAGGAAATGGGAGCGATCAGACACTCTTGATTATTGGCCACTGTGATCACATCTTGTAAAAGCAGGAGGTTTGGCAGCAAATTCAACCCAAGGTCAGACTGTGCAATGTTCAGACAAGTCAAGTTGAGTCAGTTTACTTATAAGCACATTTAAACCAACATAGGTTGACCAGAGTGCTGTAAACCTATAAGGAAAAAACTAGAGCAGGAAAATACAGAAAAATAGAAGAAATACAACAAAAAGAAAAGTGTCAAAACGCAGTCACATTTAAATGGTCTCCTCCTGTGCTTTACTCTGCTTCCTTGATCAGCTGACCTTAAAGACCTATTCAGGAATATGCATAGTTAAAAGTTCAGAAAGGTAAGTGGGTGCAAGGAACCCAAGAGCCACGTCTCAAACTCTACAAGACTCAGCTAGCATGTTAGATATTAAAATTCATGAAACTACAGTTAGACACGGGCTGAGAGGTTGTTTGGAAAGGTTGCTAGGATAAAGAACATGGCAGCAGGGCTCGGATTAGCATCAAGTTGCATCTAAATAAACCACAAGACCTCTCAAACATCCCTTTGGAGTGAAGATGTTTGGGCATAATACACAGTGCTCTGTTTGGCAAAAACCACAGGATCAGCACAAGCGCCTCATACCAAGAGTCAAGCACAGTGGTGGAGGGGTGATGATTTGGGCTTGTTTTGCAGCCACAGGACTTGGACACTTTGCAGTCATTGAGTCCACCATGAACTCCCATGTGTACCAAAGTATTTTAGAGGCCAGTGAGACTGTCTAACATGTAAATCACACAACAGGACAATGATTGCAAGGACAGCAATAAATCTACAACAAAATGCCTGAAAATAAGGGAGCTGTGTGTTCTGGAGGAAGGCTCAGGATTTAAGTAGTCATCATCATGGGCTCATCCGATTAGAATGAAAATAAGCAGTCATCAATCATTCACAGGGTTCTCCTTTTATTCTCAAATCAGTAAAGGAAAGACACATGGACTGCCATCTCTGAAAGGAAATAAAATATGATTTAAGTAACTCAAAATAATACATAAACTCAGGAGACTCAAACAGAAACTCACCTCAGCTGCTGCCCCATGTGGGAGTGACGAAAGAGTGAGCTGTAGGTGACTGCAGTCCTTATATAACGAGTGACAGGTGAGTGCAATTAAGGGCAAGCACCACACCCAATCAAAGGTGAGGAAAAGAAACAAGGTGCATCTGGTCAAGTGAATGTGCTGAAAGGTGAGCCTTTACAACACTGTGCATAAATGAATGCCTGCAAACCTCAATGGACTGAAAATTTAAATTAAAAAAAAAAAAGAAGAAGAGTGGGCTGAAATTGCTCTACGACAAAACGAGACCCTGATTACAGAAAACAGTTACGTTGACTTATGGCTGCTGAAGGTGGCCCTACAAACGGTGGACTCATGAGGTGCACTTTGTTTTTGTACTTCCTTTTTCACATGACAGTATATTTCCCCTTTCACTGCAGATTTAGGAATTATTCCATATGTTTTGTGATGTATGAGTTATGCATATATATCTATTTCTGAGGAGTCCAGCTGCAGCACACTTAAGCGTTAATCTAAGTAGCTCTTGATGGCTCAAGCATGTGTTTAAAGAGTAGCAATAGTCTGATTTAGAGGAAATGAACGCACTTATGACGATCTCTATTTCTTTTGGATAAGATTGAACTGATCTTGCCTGAGATGAACAATTAAAATCATGTCAGCTACTGCATGTTGTTCAGCAGGGGTGTCTCAGAGGACAAATAAACCTTTCAATTTTTAATGGATTTGATTAATGCTTTGGGACCTCTTTGACCGAACAGATATCATTGTGGAACAGTGTCCTCTCCTGGTTGGAGCCTGTCACAGCAAGACATTTGTCACGTAGACATAGAGGCAGGTGTAACAGTGAAGTGTAATGAAGTGGAGGAGTTGAAATACCTGTGGTCAACAATCCAAGATAATGGACAGTGCACAAGACAGGTGAGTGCAGAATGAGAAGAGAGTGCCGGCAGGGTGGAGTAGGGTGGAGTAGGCTGGAGACGACTGTCAGGGGTGATTTGTGACAGAGGAATAGCAGCAAGAGAGGAAGTAGTTTACAAGGTGGTAGTGAGACCTGCTGCCATGTACGGTTTACAGACGGTGATACTGAGAAAAGGACTGAAAGCTGAGTTGAAGATGATAAGATTTTTACTAGGAGTGACCATAATGGACAGGATTGGAACATCAGAGGGACAGGTCAGGTTGAGCAGCTTGGAAACAAAGTCAGAGACGGGGATTGTGAATGTACTGGACAAAGCATGTTGACTATGAAGCTGCCAGAGAAAAAAAACAAAGACAGCTAAGATTCATGGATGTGCAGAAGAGTTGGTGTGACAAAGGAAAATGCCAGGGTGAAATGGTGCTGTGTAAGCAACCAAAACAAGAAGAAGAAGCTGTACGTATGTGGCAATGAAGCCTATTAGTTCCCGCTCCCAGCTGATGAGACAGATCATTCAGAAAATGGGTTTATTCGTAATACAGCAGAATTTTGGTTTCTTACATCACATACAGATGTCTCCATGCATTCAGCATTGAAACATGGTCTTCAACATTTTTTTTTAAAATCTACTTGTGTAACTATAACGGTACAGAATGAATCATCAGAATCTTTTATTTCTCTGCACTGATTGTTTCACAGACACAGTCTACATCAAAGTTCATTTAAACCCCAAAGAGAACTGAAGAAATCTACCACCAAATATGAATCAAGTATACGGGCAAAAATCAAAAGAACACATTATACGACGAAATCTTTGCCTTACCATAGTGAGCTGTGGTGCGAAACCTGCCGTTAGAGGGCAATAAGGAATAAATCATTCTTTACTGGTAAGTATGAAACCAAACTCTGTGAGAGGAAATCAATCGGAATATAAGGCCACAAAAACCAAAGGATCTAACTCATGGTTACAACAGATGCTGGATATATGCTGATAAGTTGGTAAGGCGGATGCACAGCATGTTGCACTGTGACTGGTATATGAGTGGCAGCAGTACCCATGTGTGGCACAAAGGAATCGTTTCATTGACAGGAGTCTGCGGATTCTGCTGGTATCAGTGGCGACGCCGCAATCCCGTCTGCTGTTTGGAAAGTTGGTGGTTTGTGAATTTCTGCAAACTACAACATCGACATACCAATCCGGTTACCCTGCTTCGTTTTGCATGACTTATGCAGATACATCACTGAAATGATGGCATGTCAGATAAACATCATTACAGCCACTTATAGATTCATCAACAATATTCACATTCAGTAATACGGAGTTATCAGTTACAGCATCGTCCCCCTCCCCATCCCCACCCCCCCGGTATGCAAATTAGACACAAAAAATTTAAAAATTAAAAAAAAAAAAAATCCACACAAGCAAGAGCAACCTGACGCAGTTCGAGTACTCGTATAGACAAGCAGCACAGGCCATCTGTGCTGAGTTAATGTGCTATATGCTGTTTTCACATCTAAAAAGACCATAAAGCTGACTAGTCGCTTTTTTTTTTTGGCTTTTTTTTGTTGTTGTTGTTCTGAGCAAATGTTGCCACCAACTGCACTAAAAGTGGTGATTTCGGATAGTTTTGCGCATCCTACTGTAAACGGCGCGAGAACACGATGAGGGGGGAAAACATACAAATAACATCTATGCGGTTCTCTGGATGGAGAAGTACCCAACAGTGGTGGCAGGATGCATGCAGGTGAGGCAACTGAGAAAGAGTGTTGTGCGTTTTAAAATATTTAAAAAGGGCGGCTTCGACGCTTCGGGTTGCCACACGGGGAGTAGAAACATGGCACAGATATCAAAAGACATCAGAGAGCTGCTTGGGATAATACTGTCTAGGCTGCGAAGTTCAAGTACACGCTCGCAAGTCAAAAGGAAAAGCAAAGCAATCATATTAATCATTGTGACATGAATCTGCCAGATGTGACTGTTCTCAAACATGGCTCTGGAACTCTGTAGGAAAAGACATAAAAAACAACAAAAACAAGAAAAAAAACAGGACGTGGAACAGTTCCTTTCATGGACCACTGACAACGGGAAAACATACATCAACAAAGTCAGATTGGACTCATTGCTGGAGTCCCATGTGACTCGACACAGCACCTAGAGACTAACATACAGTACATTATATACCTAAAGACGATTGGTGGACGAGAGGTGGACGGAGGAAAAGCAAGTGCCTGCTGTGATTGCTTATTGTTAGTGTGCATATGTGTGTGTCTCTGTGTGTGTGTCTGTGAGTGAGTGGTTAGATACGAACATGAGAATGTGTTTTTTTTATAACCACAGAAAACCAGAAGGACCAGACCAAAAATCTAAATCTGACACCCCGCCGCCCCCACCCAAGACCCAGAATCTTTTATCAATCAAAAACCTCGGTGCTCAACCCGCACCCTCATCCCTAAAAAGAAATAAAAAGTTGGTATGGGTGTGGTCGCTGGATGCTTTCTTCCAGTTTTCTTCTTACTTCTTGTTCTTGAGTTGATTGGCCAGCCAATCGAGGCCCTCGTAGAGGCCATCGCCGCTGGTGGCGCAGGTGGCCTGGATGTACCAGTTGCGATGACGCAGAGAGTGCAAGCCCAACTTGTCTGTGATCTCTGCGGCGTTCATGGCATTTGGTAAGTCCTGTCAAAGAGCAGACGGGTCAGTGAGGAGAGAAAATTGCGCTTTCCATCTCTGCGTGGATGAATTTTCACGTTTTATTTTGCATGTTTTATTTTGACTGGAGTATTATTATTACTACTTTGCAATACTCCAGTGTTTTCACAGGAGCTTTAGAGAGTAGTATTAGGGGTAGTTATTCTCTAAGTCTTCTTCTTTCATAGGAGTATTAGAGAGTAACTTTTCTGTAGTAGAGTCTAAGAGTAGTCCTGTGAAAACACAGGAATATTAGAGCTCTTTAAAAAAGCATAACAATAGTATTATAACATATAATAATAGTATTATTACAGAGTAACTAATCTCTAAACTGCTCTATAATATTCCTGCTTCATTAGAGAGTAGTCTTAAGACATTAGAGCTTAGAAAGTAACTGCTCCCTAATACTCCTGTGAAAACCTTTCTCGATGTGGAATATCACATGATGTTAATTATAAGTCTGCACCTAAATATCACTGACCTCACTAATGTGACTAGTAACATCTGTGATTACCCATTAGTTCATCTCACAATGACTGTTTTACTACCTTTTTACTACCCTGGTAATGATTACAACTCACACTATAATTTAATGCCACCTAATTTCCAGAACTGCTTTAAAATTACACAGATAAGGAAGCTGGTATTTGGGGGCTCACCCTCTGCTATGAGCCTGCTATGTGTATGAATATACATAACACTAGAGTCTCTTGCCTGTTTATTAGCAAACACGAGGAGCACGGCATCCCTCAGCTCGTCCTCAGCCAGCATCCTCATCAGCTCCTCTCGCGCTTCGTTCACACGCTCTCTGTCATTACTGTCCACCACAAAGATTAGACCTGCAGCGGCAAGAGTAAGAAACAAAATAAACCATTTGCATTAGAAGAAGAGAAATGCAAGCATTTATGTTGCTGTGACCCTCTGATTAGCTCCGCTCACCCTGCGTGTTTTGAAAGTAGTGTCTCCAGAGAGGACGGATCTTGTCCTGCCCACCCACGTCCCACACAGTGAAGCTGATGTTCTTGTATTCCACTGTCTCCACGTTGAACCCTGAAATAAGAGGTCACACAGTGCGTGAAGCAAAACATCATATCCACTGTTGGCTGATGCGAGTAGAAAGCTGCTTTCACATACCGATTGTTGGGATTGTGGTGACTATTTCCCCCAGTTTGAGCTTATAGAGGATCGTTGTTTTTCCAGCAGCATCAAGCCCCACCATCAAGATCCTCATCTCTTTCTTCCCTATGAGGCTCTTCAGCAAATTCCCAAAAATGTTCCCCATGATTCAGACGATGTTCCTAAACGTCAGTTTAAGTGTTTGAGGCCTTTCTGCAAAGTGTCAGTTGTCCAGCGGGGATTGATTTTTTTTTTTTTAGGAGGGCTGAAAAGAAACAGACATTGAGAAGCAATCATGCTGGTCTTAATTATTAACATGCTGGAATGAGACAGAATGATTAACGAGCCAAACTGTCAAGTCTGTTAAATTACAATCTAGTAAATACTCTGGCTCACTCCTCCTCTCACCTCTCAAACACTAAAATGACAAAATCAAGCCAGAGAAATCTCACTTCTACATGCACGCAGCAAGACAGGTGCAAAGCTGTGTTACTCGCCCACAGTCATTATCACAGAGCGGGTGATGGAGATGCCATGACTCCAGGCTTCAGCACAATCTGTTCAGACCCTTTCTGATGCTTTTTTCTCCTTCAAATGTTAGCCTGTAATGGTGCCAAGCCCTTAAAGCACATGAAAAATGTCCTATATTACAGAGCATGGCTTGAACACATCTATAACAAAGCCATCTGGTCATAACCAGGGACAAATGACTAAAATTCTCCCTTTAGATTACTTTTACACCGAGTCATATCAGACACAAATAATGATTTTTAAAAAAGTGCCCTAGTCTGGTGTAAAATCTGTACAGCACGAAGGGGAAAGGAGGGATAACCTCAGGGAAAGCAGCAAGAGGAAGGATATTTCTTTCAGGGTGGACACAGCAAGTAGAAATAGTCAAATGACAACTCAAGGGGCAAAAATAACTAAAAATACTCAACACAGGTGGGATTTCTTTTCTAAGGCTGCAAAATATGCTCTGCACACTCCACCACCTAAGTATTCAAGTAAGGTCACACAAGCCAAAGACGAACAAATCAAATGAAACTATAAAAGGTACTCAAACACTGTTGATTGTATGTTTATTTTTAATGTGGACAAGAGCTGCCCAATGCCTAGTTTTTAATATGTTGTAAGTGCAGTAATTAAACAGTCCTATGCTGACAGTTATTCAGAAAGCGAGTAAACAGGCTCAGTAAGGTGAAATTTAAGACTTGAAAATAAAAGTAAACGAGGACTTCCCGCAGCCCTGTCCATGGTGCTGAACACGATCGGCACCCTGCTGCTGTTTCTGACACCAGCTCCTCTCCTCATCCAGCTACCGCAGGTTCAAACACGGCATATTTCATTAAATGGTGATCTTAGGTGGGCGAAGGGCCGCGATGTGCCGGTCTGATAGAATTCATTCAGCTGCCAGTGACTCAGGTTAGCCCGGAATGCTACGTTAGGTAACCCTTACACGGGGCTCCTGTAAAATCTCTCGTCTTTACCCAAGCTTAGTTATCGCACAAAGTCGCGCCTTTCCCCCCGAATTATCGCTTCTATAATAACTCTATTTATCAGTCTAGTTTGCTTCAATCGCGGAATCGATTAGACGTGACCGTAGCTAGCGTGTTGATCCGCCCCATTCATCCATCCGTCCGCTCATCACCTCAGCGGGCATCCGGCTGCTAGCGAGCCGTCACTCGTTGGTACCCGGACCGAGTATCCGGGTAACAACGAGCTTAATACATCCCCCACCGGACAGACATCTGCTCCACTACAGTTTCATCACCTGCCGGGAACTACGTGGATTTTTGTCGTGCTGATGGTGGAGCCAGTATCCTCACTTACCTTAGCCGAGCAGTCCTCTACTATCAACGTCTCACGACACTTTCCGAGAGAAGCGACTCAGCAGCAAGCGGGATCTCGCGAGAGCAGGTGTCACTTCAACAGTACCAAAAGGTTGTAAAAACTCTTCTCTCTGTTTTTCTTTTCTTTTAAAAACAAAACCAGGTTGTCTGTAAGATTATTATAGTTAACTAAAACGTCACGTAAAAGAGCGAACCATGAATTTTAGTTAGTATTTTGGTTAACTGAAATAAAAACAGAAACTAGACTGAAACACAAAAAACGGGAACTCTGTGAAAGGATGCTGAGCAAGCTACTTAACACTAATAAACATTTAAAAATGTATAGGGAAGCTGTCCTTTATTTTACTCTTTAGCAAATGGGTTGTCTGAACCTTAATCATGAGGCTTTGAGATGTCTGAGATTCAACTCGATTCAGTAAATTCTTTAATGGGTTATCTATTCTAAACTAAATATCTGTTCAGTCTTTAATAATTAAAAAGGTTAAAACTAACACCAAAACTAATACAAACAGCTAAATGAGGAAGAGGTAAAGGAAGTAAAGAGGATTTTTTTTAAAAAGGAAGTGAGGAGTGAAAACAGATAGATACAGACTTTATTAACGCCACACTGAGGAAATTCACTTGTTACAACAGTACAAGGGTCAGAAAGAAAACGTGAATAAGATATATTTTAGAAACAATAAAAACCTTGGGTCTTGAGCATTATTCAGTGGGCTGTGGACAGCCAGGGTCTCCTGTGTGTCTCTCTGTCCACCTCTGGCTCTCGGTGGGAGGAGTTTTTGCAGTCTCTCACCCTCATTTTCAAGTATGTTTCATGGCAAGCACTCATTGACACTCCTCTTCTCTCTCTCTCTCTCTCTCTCACACACACACACACACTGTAACAGCATGCTGCTTAAGGAGCTGCTTGGAGCCTCCAGTCTTTTGCAGGCGGTGAAAAATAAAATAAGAATCCTTATTACACATAGCATTCTACCTTACCTCATGCTTGGTTGAGTTGGTTAAATGAGGTCACTCATTTAAATGAGCCAGTTTATGGGAAAACAACTGTATAGATATGCAGTGCTTTTAAATCAATGGGCAATCTTTTGGATCTTTGAAATCTTAAGTCATGTAAATAGTCTGAAACATGAATGAGACATATAAATTTACACTGCACACCATGGAAAAACAACCAGCTGCTCCATGTATGAAAAAGTCCAAAAATTGGGGTCCTTATTAGGATTGAATGCAAAATTCTGACATGTCAGAGCAGGAAAACTGCACTAACACCAACAGCAGTCACATTCAGTTTAGGTTTAACATTTTTAGGGTCTCAGTGTTGTTCCTCACTGAGGTAAAATATACAGAAAAGACGCTTCGTCAGTGTTATTAATTACACCTGTGCTCTTCATTTTATCACCAGTGCCTCGAGGGCCTATCAGCTGCCCAGTTTCTCAGACACCCACATCACAGTGTGCTGTAACACATGGGAATTTCTAAACATTTCCCAGATGCCACAAAACCCACCATTGCCCCAGTTCAGGGAATACTCTTTTAAAGTGGTTTAGTTTGTGGAGATCCTATTAAGCATAAATGCATTCAATTACATAAACTATGGATGTATAATCTTTAATGAAATAACAAATCTGTTTTTAACTCAATTAAAACAATCTTGATTGGGGTTAAGTAGATGTTCTCTTCTTACTATTTTAGTTTATCTTGCTTTTGCAAAGTACAATATGAAAACAAATCAGTTCCTGAACAGTAGAGTTAGAACGTTTTATTGTAGCATAAGAGGGCAATCTAGCACCTAGAGACAACAGGGAGTGGGGGAGGAGTGCAAGACTGACTGAAGGAGATCAGTAAAATATGCAGGGCAGAGACTATGAAGAGCTTTAAATGTTATCATGAGTATTTCATAGTTCATTTGTTGTGGTACAGGCAGCCAGTGTGGTTGATTAAGCAGATATGTGGCATTTTCTGCTGACTTTGGGAGTTCAATGATCAGTAGAATTCAATAAAAAGTTTGCATGAATAAGTTTATAGTATATTTATGGGCCTCCACCGTTGTGTTGTTGAGACCAGACTGAGTTCATGATGTTGGGACTGTCTGTTGCAGAACTCATGGTTGTTTTTCATGAAGACAACTTTTTACAACAGGCTGTGTGCTGAAAGTCATTGACATACTGTAGAAAGAATTTGTGACCAATCAGACTGCTCCCTGATGGTACTACATCACACATAGAAGTATTCTTGCTTATGACAACACTGAAATTGTGAATAATCTGTTGCATTACTCTAATGCACAAGCAAAAAATTAAACATATAATGTATCACATGCAATTGTTTTAATGGAGCTAGAGCATTTTTAGGACAGGTTCACACAACAGTCACAATAACAAGTGCTGAGAAAACAACTTCTTAAACCAGCTCAGCAGGTTCACCCAGAGACAACTAAAAGCTACAGATTTTTTACTAAGTGTTTTATCCTATTGTAAAGTGTCCTTGGGTGACTTGAAAGGCGCTCATAAATAAAATTTATTATTATTATTATTATTATTATTTACTTCAATTATTTTGAATGAGTCAATCACCATCAGCTTCAGCATGGGTGCAACTGTAAATGAAAGAAATCCAAGTGCCACTGTGCCCGACACAATGTTACATAAAACTTCTGTTATGTGCAAAATTACTTGGTTTTCAGGAAATGGTTGAAATTGTTTTTCAGAACTTAGTAACACTTGTGCAATACTTCCCTGCACAGATGGGGAACAAAGTAAAGCATTTGTTGCGTAACAGTAACATGGCAAATGATCATTCTGGACTGCATAAACGAGAGGAAGTAGTTTAGCATAAATCAACCTGATTTATCATGTAGATACGAACTGTACCACGACGCATAATGGCAAATCAGAATATTATCACCATCATTGTAGTTCAGTCAAATAATTAGATTTTGGTCTCTGGATATGACTAAGCCACATGGTGCTTCATCCCGGCATGCGGTGTTGGAAGAATCACATAGCAAGCATGACTATATGTTTGTTTTAGTTAACACCAGAGCTAAATACTATAATTAACTCCTCTGCACAAAAAACTATCCTTTGTCTAACACATGAGCATGTGGCACAAATACTGCAATCTGGGACAGTGTTCTTGCAGAGAACCTGAGTTAAATGTGTATAGACTGAAGGCCATTTCTTTAAAATTTGCTTTGAGAACTGGCAGCATTTAAGGAAGACATAAAAATACAAATGAAATGAAACACAACAGATTTGCGATACAAATAATCAATTTGGCATGCATGACTGTGACTATATGGGGTGGCACAGAGAGACTGACATAATTAAAATGTTGGATGTTTTGACCAGTTGTACCTGAATTTATACCATTTCACATTTTCTTTACGTTAAAGATGTCATTATGTCTCACAGCCCAGTACAGCATTTCTGGATATTTGTCTATTCATTCATTTGTATTTTACTGCACGTGATTTTCTGTCCCCTTTAAAGTTACAGTGTGTAAAATCTCACCAGTGGATGTCAGTAGACTGCAGTCAAATAATTTTGGTTTTCTTGCCCCTCCCACTTCAAGTGCATGATGGTAGCTACACTAGGTGCTGTACTACAAATAATTCTAGTGACTGTATATTGCCAGCCTGCTGTTTACCTCAGCTGTCAATACGCTGGGTGAAAAGCGTCCACGTCTATTTACGCTGGAGGAGGCTGTAAACCTTTATGAAAGAAGTTTAACATGATTGATGAGTCAGTAAAGCTCATTTCTGTCTGATGACAGTGATACAGAGGTGAATTCTTAAGGATATTATTTTAACACTTTTTTTTTTAAATCAGAAAGTGTTGCTGTTAGCTGCTGTTAGCTGCTGTTAGCCAGCATCAGTGAAACTTACTTTGAAGTGGAGATAACATTGTTGGACTCTGAAACACCAAATAAACTCTCATACAATGTGAGAATGTAATGAAACTGTTTATCGGAAGGAAAGTGTGATTCTTAGGACACTTGAGTCTAACATTAGTTGGCATAATTTTATCTTATATGCAACTATTGCTGTTGTTTGGTCGGCTCGCTGTCAGCTGTCCTTAGAGGGTGGGGTCACATGTCTGCTGCTGACAAGCATGTTCGTACATATTTTCAGGAAATGAGGCTTGAGGAGGAGAGGTGGTGGAGATGAGGGAGGGGAGACACAATAAAAAAGAGATTATGAAAAAACACATGTACAAATGTTAAATGGTTATGTGTAGCTTGAAAGATCAATTTATGATCTTTAAATTACAAAGGTGACTCTGTTCATCTGGATGAGGCTGCTGGCAGGGTTTTCGCTAATGTGTCAGGAGTATTGAAACAGTGGAGACGCATTTTTTCTAAACACAGCATCTCTGTGGTTTTCAAACCCCAAAACAAGCTGTGCCAAAAACTGGTCCACCCCAAGGATCGGGTCCCCCAGGACAAACAGAGTAATATAGCGTAAGCTGTTAAGTGCCACGAGGGTTGCCGTGATTTATACATGGGGAAAACCAAACAACCTCTGGCTAAGCGGATGGCACAACACACAAGAGCTAACTCGTCAGGCCAAAACTCCGCAGTATATTTACACCTACAGGCCAGTAGACACTCAATGATGAGGATGTACACATCCTGGACAGGGAGGAATGCTGGTTTGAGTGGGGAGTCAAGGAGGCCACGTCAAAAGGGAAAGACCATTTCTGAATCGAGGGGGCCTGAGGGTACATATTTCACCATCTTACAGTGTTGTGATTGCAGACATTCCCCAACTTTTTGAACGGTACTCATAGCCATTTGTCAGTGGTCACTGATCAATGCAATGGTCATGACAATATGGATATTATTGATCAAGAAACTGACTTCACAGCCCATTGTTCGTTAGTGTTGCTAGTTTCATTCAATATGTAAATGTATTGTTTATAAGGTTGGGGAAATGTGCAGTCAGCTGATACTGAAGGAGTCACTTGGATGAATGACCTAACACTTCTTCTCCCACTAAAAACGCTACGTCCAGATGAACAGAATGAACTAGTACATGGCCGGTCTTTAGCCACATATATAAAACATTAAGCAGAACATGGATGTCCATCTTGTATTCAAGATGGCAAAGCAACATGGCGGCTTTCACAACCCAGTTCCCGCTCCCATGTGTAATTTCAATTTGCTGGAAGACGTAATTACACACATCAGTGTGTGTTTATGACTACAACATTGATTGCTTTTCTATTAAATAACCTAAAAATTACTTACTGTACCTTTAAGAGCGGGGCATCTTAGAAAAAAAGAAAACTGATGATCAGTTGACCATTGGTTGAGAAATCAAAGATAATGCTGTTCTTCAGAAAAACAACAAAACAAAGACTTTCTAGAATATTTCTAATACGATACATTATTTTACATCACTTCCGGACTATAGCTGGGTACTACCCATCACCTTTACGTTTCCTGCAGTCTAAACCGGAGGGCATAGGGAGACGTGGCGTCTGTAGCGGAGGGGTGTTTGCTCCTCAGCACGCCGACTTTCTCCAGCATGGAGCAGCCACACAGTGAAGGAGGAGAGCCTGCAGAAGCTGCGCAGCACCGCCCCCCAGCGCTTCTGCAGAGTTTCCGCTTGACACCCACGGCAGCCTGATGGGATGCATGCGGAATGTTTGAGGCGGGCTCTTTTGGAGGACCCAGGTGTTGGGACGGCGTCCAGCAGCTTATCGCTACAGTGTTACAACACATCAGCATTACCTGGCGCTGAGCCACTTTGGACGCAGAGGTCGACGGGCACGGCTCTCTCACTCTCTTTCGCTCTGCTGATGAGTGGAGAAGACTCCTACACGGAAGTTGTTGTTGTCGGATGGCATCTATTTCCCAAAAGTTCACAATGAGGACGGGCGTCTTTCTGCTCCTTCTCGCAGTCTTCACCTGTGGACTCGCGCAGGTAGACCACGATGACGCCCCCGAGGAGCTGCAGGTGGAGACCTTGGTGAGTATTACAATGCAATAGCAGCAGCTCTAACACAACTGCAGCCACAAAGATGCATGAGTATTAACAGCTAACTCTTCTGACCAAAGGTGAAACCCGAAACTTGCTCCATGCTTTCCAGAATGGGAGACACGCTGCAGATCCACTACACGGTGAGTCCACGGCTGCTGATGTGTATCGCTTCACTGAGATTTGCGAGGAGAGAAGCTGAGTGCGTGCGCGGTTCTTGTCTATGTGGCACCGTGTGCGTGAACCATGTGGACCTGCGCTGTGTTTGTGCATTTTAGTACACACGTGAATAAAACAAAGGCTTTGCCGCGACTGAACGGCTCTGATCGTCAGCCAGTGCTTCACTGTGTGCTTTAAATGTGGTTTTATGTGGAGATCCACTCTGATTTTACTGTGTAACGATGGGGCGGTGCAACACGTCAGCAGTAGCAGTACCAAGACCACAGCTCGTAGTTTTGCCACTCAACCTGAATATAGAAACTTACTGATTAATTATATAGATTTCAAGTGGCTAAAAACTATGTAAAATTGGCTTTTTAAAGTACATAATTTTGCCATTACAACCCAGAAGTCCAAATTTAACTGCTGCAATTCTTTTTTTCACCTGGAGTAATAATTAATATAAAAATTAGTTAGTTTGCTGATGCCTCACAGGGAATTCTGGGTTCACATCCAGTGTGTGTGGCATTTGCATTTTCTCTCTGTGTACTCAAACTTCCCACAGTCCACAGGCAAACGTGTTAATTAGTGCTACCAGTGCTGATGCATAATATCCGCAGTGGGACACATGGCTGCAACAAACTTTACATGATCTTAACTTTGTGTCAGTTTATCAAAATCCCATTACTTCTATCTCTGAGATCACTGTCCCCTGCTCCTCCAACACGGGTCCATCTTACGGCAGCAGTTGGTCAAGTGGTGACTTTAAACTGGCCCCTAGGTGTAAATGTGAATGGTCATCTGTCTCTCTGTATTAGCTCTGTGATAGACTGCCAACCTATCCAAGGTGCGTTCAGCCCTCCCTGCCATCTTGAATTAGATAAGTGGAAGAAATGGATGAACAGATAATAAAAAATACAGATAATGAGAAAAAATATCATTTATATAGAACTTAAAAAAAATCTTGTGCTTCAAAGGTGGCAACAATTCACAACAAATGTCGAAAAAGACAAAAACTAGAAAACTGTAAACATCACTGTTATACCCATAAAAATAAAACTGTATACAACAAGAAATTAGACAGTTTGAATAGAGAATAAAACATTTGCTACGCTGTTACACCCTGGTTACTCAGTTTAGGCAAATGAAAAACATGTTTATTTGTTATGAATCTTTAAACTTACATTTTGTTTTTGCACCTCTCTAGTTCACCTGGTGTTAAAAAGACATTCATTAAGGGTTCAATTAGACTCTGAGTGCTTTTTAATTGTTAATTAACGCTTCATGATTTAGCTCTTTGTGGACTCAAGTGACACAGATGGCACAGGATTGCTTAAACGAAAGTGTGTTCAAAGAATCTGCTGCAGGGAAATATTTTGCTCATATCTGACTCATTTTTGGTCATTAGTTTACCAACATTTATATTATAAAAACTGATATATGGTGATTTTTTATTTGCAGAAAGTTGCATAAAGCCTTTATATATTTATTAGATAACCAGCTGGAGCTACAGTAGCTTTGCTTAGCTGAAAACAGAAATAAGAGCTAGTTTGTTTTGTCACAAATAACAAAATTTGCTTCTAACATCTGTAAGTGATGTGTTGTGGATGTGTAGAAAGCTGGAAGGCAGATTTTGTTCCGTTAGCTCCTTCCTGGTTCCCGTCTTAGTGCCAAGGTAATCCAACCACAGACATGCCTGGCAATCAGTCTTTTCATCTAACTCTTAGCAAGACAGTGAATTACAAAACTGTCAGGACCTTCCTTTAAGGTGTAAGCACTGTGGCTTATTTTCCCAGACATGGATTAAGACGAGTCCTAGACAAAGAACTTTTTGCAATAGAGAAGTTAATTACAAA